TGTTCAACTGGTTGACGTCCTCGTACGACCAAAGGCTGATAAATACCATCGCCGTTTATGAACTGCGATGGATAAGTAGATTATAGTTATATTTACTTCCTTTTGGCCTCGATACCGCTTTCTTTCGCTGTTTGTTGTCTATTAGAAAGACCAAGTACAGCCAGGTCTATCTTCACCTGGTCTTTTGAATAGAGTAACCACTGGCGGGCACTGCATCAATTGTACACACGGAGATGGCAAGCACCCAATCGATCGCAATACAACACACGTTTTAAGATCTGACTATTGGTCACTTGAAAAACTATGAAGCAGCGAGTTCAGATAGATTACCATCCACGCTATTAAAATACGACAGCAAAAGACTGATAGGGTGTATGCATAAGCTTTTTCACCAAATGGGGTCGAATGAAATCATGCCCGACCATTGGACTCCGCGTGTTTACCACCCAATCCACAAAAAAGAAGGAACTCACAAACTCCGCCAATTATAACGGCACAAACCTAGACAATACCCCATACAAGGTCTTATGGAAGGTATTGTATGAAAGGCCAAAACTCATGGTAAACCAACTGATTGGACCTTATAAGTATGGTTTCTGAACCGAAACTTCAATACTTGGCCGGATATTCACTATGTGCCAAATATTAGAATGAATCCTTGCGAAAATAAATGATCACCTCATCCTTGATTTAATTTTAATTAGAAATTCACATTAGAAAACACAAAATGAGTTTGAACATACAAAAATTTGCGCTTTTGGGGCAAAATAGTAATGTGTAGTCCCTCAAGATTAGCTGAATATAGTCCTGCTGTGGCCCGAAGCGTTGAAGAAAACCCTTGTTTGTCCATTTCGCGTCGTTCTTTGGAAATGGGACCACAGACCTCATTACAGCGTACTTTACATGAAGATGTGAGTCTTAAGACTTAGGACAACAAAGACGTGTCTTTGTTGATAGAGTCCCTGAAATGCATAAAAATAATACGGAATTCATCGAAAAATCATCTTGTCTTGGCTATCTACATAAGCCAAACTCTAGCATCTGGTGCTCGGAAAATTTTTCCGCCGAGCTCCTCCTCCAATTTGTGGTTTTTGCGTCTTGATATTTTTCCAACAAATGGAGGGACCTACAGCTTATACTAAGCCGCCTCCGAACGGCTGATGTTTTTTTTACGAGGAGCCTTTATTTCACGTCCGAAATATGCCCGGAGGGGTGGACAGTTTCTGCCGAGAAGCGAGCGCAATTAGAAAATTTACCTTCATTTTTTTATTTAAATTATTTTTTTATAACTTCTTTGGATGTTGATGGCACAGTGCACTTTACTATTTTGAAAATTCGGGTGGAGCAACAGTTACGGTGATTTCGCAATCGCGTGATAGTCAATGATTTCTTGTGGCCTTAATTTGATGATTTTGATCTGAGGAGTATTTACTTTTTATCAAGACTGTGACACACGTGCCAGACAAGCAACGAAACCATCGACCTTTTTAAGAGAAAAGTTTCCAGTCCGTGTAATCTCTCGAACAGGTGATCTCAATTGGCTATCGAGATCTTGTGATTTAACACCTTTCGACTACTTCCTTTGGGACCACGTGAAAGATAAGTCCGACGCCAACTGCCAACTTCGTTTCAAGACCTCAAATATGGAGTTCGTGAAGCAATTGAGGCCATACATCAGCCGCTTTGCGATTTGGTGATGGAAAGTTTCATAAAAAGGTCCTATAAACGTAGCAGTGGCGGCTATTTTGCTGATATTATTTTCCATTATTATAAGCATTTCCACTCGTTTACATTGGAAAAAATATCCCATCATTTATCTCAAACAATGCCATTTTTCTTTGAATATCAAAATATCACCACTTATTGGAAAGCCCTGTATGTAGTATGTGCGTATATTATACAAATCTACACATGTACATACATACATACATACATAGTATGTAACTAAAAGTAATGAAAGCTCAACGACACTTGGCCTAAATAGCCAACAGCGAAGCATTGCTGCATTGTTGTAGTCAATTAAAACATAATAAAAATCAGCAAATGCGTTTTGATGCAATTTTACGTGGTCTTTATCACGTACAATGCGCGACGCAGAGCTGAGAAGCAAAATGTGACAAAACGAAAAAAAAGACCAAAAATTTGTATGCAGATAAAAGACAATATAAATTAAATGCACAAGCGACACATATGTATGTGTGTATGTATGTATGTATGAGTATAGATATTTAGCTAAAATATATATTTGCGTACCTGCATACAAGCAGACATATTATAAGTATTTTTACAGTAATTTATTTATATTGGAATGTGCTTTTTTTACCACAACGAAGAAATATGAGATGCCACTAGGTTTTTCTCAAGTAGAAAATCCCATAAATGTATTGCACACATTCATTATTTTAAAGTAATTTTGCTTATAGTATATATATATGTATATACACTCGTGTTCGTAGATAAATTTTTTGTACCAATAAAAAAGCGTTTAAATAAAAAGTCTCTTGCTTCGATCATAATTGAAGGCAATGTGTTTGGCATACATACATACATACATATATACACAGGTATAGCATTATAGTGCCTATGAAAGTAAGTAAAAAGCTAACATAACATAGGTAAATGGCTACACGTGTCTGTATGTGGATTTTACACATAAAAAATTTTACAATTTGTGGGTTAGTGTTATAGTGATTTAATAGTTATTGTTGTTATTTAACAAGGGAAAAAGACAAAAGCTACCGGCAATTGATTTATCAACAATCCAATACAATGTACGTCACTTTCAAACCACTAGCATGTGTTTTATGTTTCGACGTGCATACAAACATACATACATATATATTATATCCGTTGAGAAACACCGGCAAATACTTAAAGGCTGATACCAACAAGCAGCAGCAAATAAATACGCCAATAAAATTAATGCAACACTTGTGCTATCCGCTATTTATAACTTACACTTTCTCAGAAATACACATTCACAAACATTCATACATATATATGTATATCTGTTATATTTTATTTTATTTTTTTGAGCCAAATAAATGCGTTCAGCAGGCCGGGTAAATAAATTTATATCTGTCTACCTCGTAATATGAGCAAATTCGCGAATATATATTACATGCTTTTAGAAAATATGCATATTTTGTTGTGTATACATATATGTATGTATGTTTGTCACACAATGGTAAGCATCATAAAAGTACATAACGCACTTACATAAATAAATATACTCAAACAATTTTTTGTTGGCATGTGGTACTCTACAGACAATAGCATGGCTTTTTCGCATTATTGGCTAAAAAATAAAACTTGTGTGTGAAATTCAGGAAATTTATGGTCAGATATAATTGTTCGATAAGTTAAATTTTAGACGGTGCTTTATAACTAAAACTCGAAAAAAAAGTGTTTCTTTCAAAAAAAAAAATACTTGAATGGGAAAAGGCGTGGAAAATAAAGTAAAATGCAAAGAAAGTAAATTATATTTTGAAAATATCAAAACTAAAAAATATATTATTAATTAAAATAGAAAAATAAAATAAACAAATGAAATAAAATGAATAAAAAATAAATTAGAATATACATAAATTAACATGAAAAAAAAATAAAATAAAATAAAAAAATTAGTAAAAATATAAAAATTTTTATAGAAAAAAAAAATTAATAAAAAAAAAATATTAAACACATTAAGTAATATAAATATAAAATCAAATATAATAAATAAAAATTTCAAGTGATATAAAATAAATTTAAAAAAATTTAAAAAATAACAGATTAAAATGAAAAATAAAATAATGCAAATAAAAAATTTAAAAAATAATATATAATGTAAAACAAACTAATATGATCAAAAATAATATAATTAAATAAAAATATCAAATCATATAACACAAATTTAGAACAAAATAAATAAAAAAAATAAACAAATGAAATAAAATGAATTAAAAATTATACATAGGAAAAAATAAATATTGTAAAATAAAAAAAAAATCATTAACATATGAAATAAAAAAACACAAAAGAAAAAAATTAAAAATTGTTAAATTAAACAAAAAAAAAACAAATTAAAAGTAAGATACAAAATCAAAATAAAGAAAATATATTAAATTTATATAAAATAAAATACAACAATAAAAACTAAGAAAATATCAAAAATATAAAACATAATAATGTAATATAAAATCAAAAGTACAATAATAAACAAATATATGAAATAAAACACAATAAAGCAACATTACATAACGTAAAATAAACAAAAATAAAATAAAATCAAATAAAAGACAATAAAATTAAAAAATTAAAAAAATTATTGATTTAATAATTAATTAATAATTTAAACTAATTAATAAAATATAACAAAAAAAGGTGTAAAGTATAATAATAAGTAATGTACAAAATAAAATGAAAAAATTAAACAAATAAAAATAAAATGACTAAAAATCAAAATTAGTGTAATAAAAACTAAAATAGAATGAAATGAAAAATAACAAAAATAGAATAAAATAATTAATTAAATAATGTAAATTATAAAATAAAAATGTGTTAACAAATGAAAAAAAATTAAATTAAATTAATTGAAAATATAAAAGTAAAATTAATTTAAAAAATGAAAAAGTAGAAATAAAAATTAAAATAAAGGAAGATATATTAAATTTAATTTAATATAAAATAAAATAATATCAACTAAAGAAAATAAAAATGACAAAATAAATTTGTATAAAATAAAAAAGTATTACACAATTAGATTGATATAAAATAAAATAAAGTAATATCAAATATATTAAAAAAAAATAAAAATAATAAAGTAAAACAGATTATAAAATAAAATAAACGTATACCAAAAAAAAAATGAAAAAGTAAATAGACAAAAACATAAAAAAACGTAAAAATAAAAGACTAACAGCCAAAATGAAGACTTATAAATATTTTTTAAAGCATAATATTTATATTTTCACTATCCTTCGATTTACCTAATTCGAGTTTTCCATTTATCATTTTAGCTCACAGACGAAGTGGTACGTAAGAAAGGTGAATACCAAAAGCATCTAGAGGGTTATAAAGCGCTACGCACACGTTTTGAGGAACACTACATAAAATGTGAGTACAAAAAGGAAGATAGACTAAGTTCGGCTGAAGCCGAGCATTAAACTTTCGGCTAATATTTATAATAAGTTCAAGATCGGTTAAAATAGAACAGGAATAATGGCTTCCATACTCGATCTTGCGTCAATTAAAGTGGAAGAAGTTTTTGATACTTTTTTATGGACTTTTCACTCCTCATATTGGCACAGGTGCGTTGCAAGGGTGCTTTAAGTTATAGTCATCTGATTTCGAGGATAATTTTTATTTGTAGATACAAATGCATAATACCAAATCTTTTAACTAAACTCTCCCTTTTGACGGAGTTTTGAGCAAAGCCTCATACCTGAACAAATCGATTGTATGGGTGATTTATGTTAAAGTCGTCTGATTTTGATAACTTTCAGCACCAGTATGCAATTTATCATAGCACGCTCTTAGCTGCTTATTGAAAAATTTATAACAAAAATTCTCATAACTGAGATATTTGGTTGTATATGATATATGCTATGGTGGTGCGATCTGGCCGGCCCTGAGAAATGATCGATTAAATATCTGTGTATCAAGATCGGTTGAAATTCCTAAAAAGCTGAAGGACTGGTTTTCGTACAGACAGATGGACGGATAGACAAAACACCTCCAGTTGTCGTCTGGTCCGACCGGACCGCCTTTAAGTACTTACCAATGTTAATATGCCATTTCATGTACATGAAAGGTATGATTAAATTATACTTTTTCCCTACTTACATACTTACATCTTCCAGCTGGTCGTGGTGGTCGAAAATTGGATGATGTACGCGATAAATATCAGAAAGCCTGCCGCAAACTACATCTCACACACAACGAATATGTGCTCTCCATAACCGAAGCTGTTGAGGTAGAGAAAGACTTCCGTACGGTATTGTTACCCGGACTGCTGGAGCATCAACAATCTGTGCAGGAGAGTTTCATCTTACTATGGAAGAATATACTGCAAGAGACCAGCCAACATGGCGATCTCACATCGGACAAGTTTAAGGAAATACAAAAACGCATCGACAATGTGATAAACAGCATAAATCCCAGTGAGGAATATCGGGAGTTTACCGAGAAACACAAGTAAGAAATATAACAATTTGCAATAAATATTACATAAATAAAACAAATTTAAAATATGAATTAACTTAAAATCAATTTATTTTCAGAACCTCCCCTACCACACCGTTAGTATTCCAATTCGACGACGCACTCATCGAGGACATCCCGGGCAAATTGCAATCAAATACACTCACAGTTGATAATCTCACCGTCGATTGGTTGCGTTCGCGTCTCATCGACTTGGAAATGTCCGTGAAGGAGTGTCAAGAGAAGCAACTGAAAATGATCGAGCAAGCGAATGGCGGTTCGCCGATAGCGAATGGTAGCATAACACGTAACGGTAGCACGGCCAGCAATGGCATACAATCGCCGAAGGATAGTCAAAAGTAGGCATTAGTGTGGGTTTTTAATGAAAAATATTAATTTATTTAAAATTTATATGGAAAATATAGTAGACAGTCGAAGGACCTCAATGCGCTGCGTTGTCAAGAGAAACAAAAACAAAAATTGGTGGATATGATCAAATGTGCATTGAATGAAATTGGCTGCGAAGAGTTGCCATCTGGCTGTGATGATCATTTGGAACAGAATTTCATAGAGAATAGTTTTAATAATGACCAACAGGTGAGTGTGAGCGATAATTATGATGAATGCCATAGAATTCAAACACACAATTGTATACACAAAAATCAGGTGAAGGTCTTAGAGGTTAGCAACAATTAGATATTTACTTGTTAAGAGACCTTTAAGTATTTGAGCCTAAGTGACATTGGTTTTGGAAAGCTTTTATATATAAACAATTATAAATTTCACACTTAGTTAAATATTATTCGCAATTGTAGGAGGTTGTGGGGGGAGATGTATCGAAAAGTCCAAAAAATTATCTGTGAAATTTCTTATTTTTATCGTAAGAGGACAAGAAAAAATTTATAAATTTTTACTATTATTATTTTTTTTTTTAATCTAATTTTTCTACAAAAACTAAATTTAATTTTTAACGCCCAAAAATAAAAAAAAATTATATCATGTTTTTAGAAGAGTAAATTTAAATAAATTTTATGAGTGTTGCCACCTATTTTACAACTCACACTAGCTAATAAGGAAGTATTTTCAAAAGAAAGATTTTTATGAAGCTTAGGTTAGGTTCAACTGGACGACGTTACGTCCAAAGTGTTACAAGACACATTACTTACAAGTAAGCTACACTCCTTATCGGGAAAAACATTGCTGTTTCCTTTCGAAAATTGAAGTAATCGTTTTGACCTCAATTAAGCATAGTCTTGCCTGCCGAATGTTGGACAATCACAGATTACGTGCTACACTGTCTTCACCCATTTCCTTCCTTTGATTTTGTTGTCCTCAATAAGACTTATATGAAAAGCATGCGAAGACAGAGGACAGTGCCTCGTCAACAGTCCTACTAACAACCTGTAATCTGGTCTCTTTTCCGGTAGTAAAAATCTTTTAATTTGGCACATAATGATTTCGCGTATCTGCAGTTCGTGCCCAGAGTCAAGTAAGATTATTTCTTGCATTTACTTTTACTCTCGTAATATGTTCATTTCTTCAAGAAGACCATCTTGAGCAAGTTCCTCAGCTAACTTATTACCTTCAATGCACGTGTGACCTGTAAATGAAACTATTACTCTTTGAGATAATGCAGCCGACTTTGTGCTGCATAAAACTAAGGCTTTAATGGCCGCTTGGGTATAGGCATAAATGTTCATTCTCTCCATTCGAAAACCTGCACCCTGCAGTAGCTCTGACGCCATATTTATTAAAAGTATTGAGGTTCCGGAAATATTGCAATAGTTTGGAAGCTTAATTGACTTTTGGGTGCAGTATACTGAAGTATCTTAATGTGAAAGATTTACTTAAATTTATACTAAAAATGTTGCCACCTATTCAAATGCATAGCAACTTAATATTTTAAAATTAGGCTCCGTAAATTATTTTATTTTTATAATATTTCTAAAAAAAATGTTTAAAAACGTTTAATTAGAAATTAATCTAATAGGGTTACCACCTTTTCAAAATTATAATAACTTATATATGCTCAAAATGTAAAAAAAACGATTTAAGTCTACTAGGGTTGGCCTCACACGTAAAAATTAAGGATAATAAAGGTTGTCAAATATCTCCCTTCCGCTTTTTGCTCTTCATTCAATGTTTTATAAAAAAATGTTACATTGATCGAATTTAGTTAAAATATGCGCCGTTTTGTTCGATGATCTGTTTCCATCTAGACGGCAACTTCATAATACCTTCCTCGTAGAAGCCCCCCTCCTTATTTGCGAAGAATTCGGACAGCCACTTTTCACAAGCCTCTTTTGAGTTCAACTTTACCCCACCAAGGGCATTCGCCATGGACAGGAACAGGTGGTAATCACTTGGCGCTACGTCCGGACTATATGATGGATGCGATAAAACCTCCCATCCGAGCTCCCGTAGCTTCTGACGAGTCATCAACGAAGTGTGTGGTCTGGCGTTGTCCTGGTGGAACACTACACCCTTCCTGTTGGCCAATTCTGCACGCTTCTGGTCGATCGCCTGCTTCAAGCGGTCCAGTTGTTCGCAGTAGATCGTAGAATTAAGCGTCTGGCCATATGGAAGCAGCTCATAGTGGATGATTCCCTTCCGATTCCACCAAACACACAGCACCTTCCTGGCCGTCAATCCCGGCTTGGCCACTGTTTGGGACGATTCACCGGCCTTCGACCACGACCGTTTTCGCTTGATATTGTCGTATGTGATCCATTTTTCACCATCCGCTTCAAGAATGGGTCGAGTTTGTTCCGTTTCAGTAGCATATCGCAGGCGTTGATTCGGTCCAGAAGGTTTTTTTGCGTCAAATTATGCGGCACCCAATCATCAAACTTTTTTTTGTATCCAGCCTTCTGCAGATGGTTCAAAATGGTTTGGTGACTAACTCCCATCTCCTGGGCCATGTCACGAGATGCCATATGCCGGTCTAACTCGATGTATTCCATGATTTGATCGGTATTTGTCGTCACAGGTCTTCCGCCGGCTGGCTTATCCATGGTGTCGTTTTCACCGGCTCTGAATCGTCGAAACCATTCCTTCGTGGTTCGAAGTGATAGAGTACCATCCCCCAAAACACCATTAATCTCACGGAATGTTTCTCTAGCGGATTTGCCTTTAACGAAGGAAAACTTTAAAATAGCGCGAATTTCGGCGTTAGTGAACTCCATGTTTACACGTCTATAACTGTTGAACGCAATATCCAAACTAATCATGCATAGCGTTGTTTTGTAGGTTACCTTTCAAATTATGTCTAGTGTAGTCAGATACGAGCTCTGTAGCGCTTTGTACATAGCCGCGAAATTCAAAAGACAAAAAAGCGGAAGGGAGATATTTGACAACCAATATATTTAAAAATACAATAAAGTAGTAGATTTAAGAACTTTTTGATACATCAAAATTTCACTTTCAATATATTTTTAAGGTCTTAAATTCTATTTACAAAGCCTAAGGTGCAGGTCTGGTGTTAGTCATCTTTCTAAAAACACATTTACACACCTAGAAATATACGTTTATATACTTTTACTTATAAAATCTCTGTTTTTCTCCCAAAAACTTTCACTTTTGTTTCACCTTAACACCTTTTTTAAACCCCCAACAACACTTAAAAAAAAAACAAATACTTGTGAAAAATCAAAACGATATTTTTCAAAACTTTGGAATACCCAAAATACAAATACAATTCAACCCGCCGGCCAGCAGAACTCGACAGCCTCTACAAATTCCACCGGCGTAAGTATTATGAACGAGCTACGACGTCGCGGTGGCGTACTCACATTGCTACGCGGTCGACCCTTTAAACGCAAATCGACACCACAACCGACCACGCCCACCGCGAATCGTCAGCGCACGCAACGTTTCAACAAACTACAACCGCGCTCCCAAAGTCTCGGATCATTGTCGGTAAATACCAGTCCCGCGAAATATGAGCCCATTACTAATCCTTTACGCATGGCTGCCAGCCTTGAAGCTAACACCAGCTACGGTCTGCATGATTTCGATCCCGATTCCGTGATCATGTTCGATCGTGGCGCTGCTAATGCTAAAATGTTTCCCAAACTGCGTCGTACGCAGTTATCAATGTTGTGTTTGAATGAGGAGGATGCGCCTACCGCTTTTGTTATATCCATTGATACTAACCCGAATGAGTCTGATTTAAATGATCATACAAACAACATCAACAACAACAATAATAATAATATTTATGCCGATTTGTTAGGTGGCTGTGAGTCATTGGGGGGTGATTGTGATAGTGTTAGAAGTGGTGAGTTGGCATTGCGACGACAGGAAAATGTGAAGATCGAAATCAATCGTGAAGATAGTACGAGATTAACCGTAGTACAGGCGCGCGAACAGCCTGCTGGTGAGCTTGGCAAAAAGAATGAGCACGATATGGTTACGGAAGGTAAAAGTAAGACTGCAACGTCGGCGAACCAAGAACCAAGTGTCGCAACGCCGACACAAGAAACGGTGAAGAGCTCAATAGATGCGCACTTGGACAAGATCGATGAATTGAATCGCACCTTAGACGATCGATTGAAGCGCAATTTGCCGCAAACTACAGCCACGCGACCACAATTGAACTTCGATGCGATCGAATCGGCCGATGCGGCGGCAGTTACAACGCGTACGAAAAATGGCGATGAACCAGACGTGCATAGCTCCTCTAAGCGCTCGTCCAGCTCGAGTTCGGACTGTCGCACATGTGCGACGCGCAAAGAAAAGGACAGTGATGGCGGCAGCGGCAGTAATAGCAAAAAACGCTCCGTCTCTTTCTCGCAAAAGTCCATAAACGCCATAATGACTAACCTCAAAGAGTTCACCAAAAAAAATGCCATGCAGAAAGTGCCAAAGACAACTATTACTTTAGTGGAATATAAAGAGAATAGCGATCAGTTTGAGCTAATCGATCCCGAACTCGGCAAGTCAACGCAAAGTAATGGACGCGCAACAGAGTGTGCAGACAAGCTCAATGCAGCCGAAAGTGCAGCTACAAAACTCACACCAGCAACAAGCGCGGACACCGAAACGAAGTGCAAAGCTAATGGTAGTGTTAACAAAGAAAAGTCCGCCAGTAACAATAACAACAACCACACAACAGATAACACAAATACGCCTACTGCGCCAGCAGATACAACAAATCCGTCCAAAACCGAGCCACTAGCCATGACCGCTAAGCTGCGCCTCAAAGTGCCCAAAATACAAAAGAAATCCAAAGCCCTACGTCAGACATTCCGTGCCAAGTTGTTAAATTTCCAAATTAAACGCGATAAAATCTGTAAACAATGCACCAAACGACGGCGCGTACATCCGTCAAAGAACGTCTTCGATTTCAGCAAAGATTTTGGTTTCAAACGAGACGAAGTCAACGCTGCAGAGAACTGCGAAGCGAGCAATGAGGACTTCTGTACTTGTCCACCGGAGAAGAACTTGAATAAGGCCAGCTTTATAGAGCCCGCCGCCACTCACTTCGATTCAACGAGCTCGGCTGAGGCTGAAGACGAATTTAGCGGCGGTGAGGATCATATCAGTCTCAAGGATCACTGTTACAGCGTGCCCAGTCTGGCGATGAGTGTGAGTAGTAAGGGCAGTTTAGTGTGGATGAACAAACGCAAAAGCCTGTAGAAGAAGCATCAAATATTATTTTCTTAAAAACAAAAAAAAAATCTAAATAAAAATTGCATCCGTAGCTGCATTTTTAATTTAATACACGCAACTGTAGCTAAATATGCATCCAATACGTATAGAAGAAAGAAGTAGCTTTGTGTGTATGTGTGTTTTAAACATTACTAAAAATAATTTAGCATTTTGTTTAACACAAAAAAAAATTAAAAAAAATTTAAAAAAAAAATTAAAAAACTTTGCGTATCTTGATTTTGACTATCCTCACACTCTGCACAATTGTATGTATGTATGTACGTATACGCGCACCACAAAAACCAACATAAATAAGGCCACCCATTTTCGATTGATTGTACAGCAATGAGCGCGTTCCAGCTGATATTTAGCTGTGCTCGTGCGACCTTCATTCTCATTCAGTTTCGATGTCGTAAAAGTGGGCTTTTCCTAATTTATTAATTTATTTACATTTTTTTTTTCTTTTCGTAAACACTTACACGAACACTTCTGCATTGTTCATTATCTTTATTGTATATTAAGCAACGCCAACATTTTCGCATAGTTTAAGTTTTCACCTAATCAGCGTTGAGATGCCTGGAACTCCTCAGCGCTTATTTTGTATATAAATATTATATTTACTCACATACATATGTACGTGTATGTATATGCATGTTAAATTACTATAAATAATTTTTTTCTTTTTTTCTTTTTTTTTTTTTTTGAAAAAATGTTAAGAATTTTCTTGACTTAAGCTACTTTGTAATTACTTGTTGTTGTTGTATCTAAAAAAATGGGGAAAAACTTTTATTTAAATATTCTTTTTGCATGGCTTCGCCAATGTAAATAATATATATTTGTATATTTTTTCTTTCAAAAATAACGGACGCCTATAACTGTCGAAATTTATTGTAAATATTTATACTATATTATTTATAAAATATTAATTATCAGTTAATTTGAAAATAAGTCGATTTTATATTTTTAAATTATTAATTTGTATGTATATGTGTATGTTATACGGCATTTCCACGACAACCCAATCATGTGTTTCGCTCTCTCAATCGTAATTCCCACTCCAAATGGGTGCCGAATTAAATAATTCGCCATACAAATTTTCATGAGCGAATTACAGTAAAAGTGGGTACTACGTTCTCAATGTCCATGCGAATTACGATTAAATCGATGCCTTCTCTAATTCTTATCGAAATTTTATGGAAACCAGTTGACAAATTAAAACAAAAACAAGAAGAAGAATCATAAAAGAAGACACTAACACACAAACATTGACTTGAAACCAAAGACTATTTGTATATTAAAGAAGAAAAAAATTAGAAATTATTAAAGAAACTGGCATTAGATTAACAATTCAATTCAAGATTTTGTTAACTTCTATTGTACTAAAATCTTTCATTTCCCATACGTTTTCAAATGGAAAACGGTCAAACTGCGTGCCGTGTGAGAGAGCGAAATGCCATATTACATTCGTACTGGAATTTTCTCCTCGGAAACAGAATATCTGAAGTCGCCAAAAATTAGCAGAAGTTCTGTCTGTTGTCTTATTGCAAATGCCAAGTTCGATTGCTGATGTGGTTTCAGTGTGTGCAATATACTGAATTTCACGCCCTTAGAAACCATTTCGACGGCTTTTTCAACCAAAACTTCACATCTGAACAAATCATTTACAAATAAAGCTTTTGAAAACTATTTAAAGGGGTTTTCTTAAGACGTGTGATTTTCAATTGAGGCAATATCTTGTTCTGTGCTAATCTATTTGTTGCTTGATATACCAGGTGTAGATGCCGATGCAGTTACCGACACATCATGTCAGCCATGTCTTGTTATCGTATTGATATCCGACAAAGGTTTCCAATTCGCAATACAACGAGTTTAATTCAGTTAGCGTTAGTTTTTTGGAGATAAACATGTCGAGATTTGTGCCAACAAATTACGATTTACGGACAGCACTACTTTTCTGTTTCCTTCTGAAGAAAACCGCAAGTAAAAAAAATCAGTTGCGGCTACAATGAATGAGTTATTATTGGCTTGCGTCACCTCTTGCCCGAGAAAAATGTTTATGTACAAGTGGCACAGTTCATTTAAACAGAGAAGAGACCCCTTAAACACAGCCCTAGTTTGGCAGAAGCATCAAAAATGTGGAAAAAATTGTTCCCCAAGATGATCGACTAAGGAAGAAACAACAAATGGTTAGAATATCTGATAAGACTAACTAAGATTAGGAGAAGATGGGTGCTGAGAGTGCACACGCCTCTGCACAAAACAACAGCCACAGGAGTCGCTGGTGGGCTTCGATATTTTGAATCACACATCCTTTCTCCGTTACTTGGTTAACTGTATACTTCATAGGAAAAACTCTAGAAACTATTCATATAGACCATTGTACCTCCGCTATTTAAGCCAGCCGCGTTTTCTCACCTCTGTTTAAGGTGATTTCCTAAAAAATTCAAACAAATATGAAAAAAATATTTCATCGCTCGTTTATACCAGAAGAGAATAGTACCATCAGTTCGAGAGAAATTTCAGCAAGAGTCTAAGTTCTATAACTTTTTATTACAGACCTTGTCAGGTCACAAAGAAAATAAACATTTATATCCACCTGTTGTAAACCATTACATATATATGCATGTATGTACATATACCAATTTATATACTCACATGCAGCCGGTTAATTTCACTTCTGGGTTTTTGCACTAAATCAAGCGAAACCATTTTCTTTGGAAACCAGCCAAAGAGCTGAGTCACTTCACGACAGTCTACAAGATTTCTTATACCTTTCATATGTGTAAGTTTGGTTCGAAGTATTTTAGCACGAGAAGGTAAAGAGATAAGCCAATGAATAACCGCTGAAGCTATTTTTCGACCGAGCTCTTCCTCCAATTTGTGGTTTTGCGTCTTGATGTCTTTATAACAAATTCAGGGACTTTCACTTTATACTAAACCGCCTCTGAATGGCTAATTCTGAAATACACTCGGAGGGGTGGACGCTCCCTGCCGGGGGGCGACCGCAATTAGAAAATTAGAAATAAATAGGGTTATACATTTGATGGTTTAAATTTTAACTGTGAGACCAAACTGTTTTAATTTAGTTAAAAGTTGGGAATTTATGGAAATGGATCGCTTGACAACCGCACAATGCGATTAAAAATTACCAGAAAAATAGCGGTTCAATCGATACTACTTCTCGTGCTTTAAGAGGAGTTTATGGTATAGTAAGATATTAAAGAGAATTGATAAAATTTTTGAGAAATCTGAGGAGACTGGATCCGTTGCTGATATGTAAGGCCTGTGCTTCAACGTTTAGTATGTGTGTACGTCGGTAGGGTCTTGAACAGCAAGCAGTGGATGACGATTTTTTAAACAAAGTTTTTTTTTTCAACGACGAGACACAGTTTCACTCAGAAGATAAGAAAATAAGCAAAATTTTTTGCATTTGAAGCTCAGAATATCTTCAAATAATTGAAATAGCGACACGTCAATTATTTGCTCGCCCAAAGACAACTTACTGCCTGGTGCGCTCTAAGGTACGGTGGTGTGATTGGGCCTTACTTCTGTGAAATTGACAATGACGAGACTATATCTGTCACTTCGGAATATAATGGTCACATAATAACCGACCCTTTTTTGGACAATATGTGGTTATCAACAAGATGATGCCACATGCCACACAACACGAGCGAATAAAACTTCAATACGACAGAAATTTCCCGGACGCTTAGCCTCTCTGCAATGTTAATTGGCCAAAGAGGTCTTGATCAGAATGACTAGTAAAATTCCCTCAGTTTTTGAGATATTTTAGTTGAACTCGGCAACAAACGTTATCCTTCAAAAAAAACATCAAAAGGCGTGAAATTTGATATCTCGTACAACGAACTTCTTCGAAATCGTAAGAATACATCGTATAGCCCCCATACAACTAATTTGTTTAAAAATGAGAATCAATTTTTAAAGCCAAATTTTAGTATCATAAACTTTATCATGTCATGAGAGGTATAAAGGCTTCGGTATGACCAACGACAGCTCCTCCGTCGTATGTTTCCGTAGTTTACGAAGAGCAAGCTTTTCAAAGAGAAAACTGACGACATTTGCGGTTAAGCTAAATTTAGTTTTCTCCATTAGATACAAATAAATACGATAAACAAACATTTTACCTACTCTTCGGAGGGATGAGCTAGAAGAATTTTATGGCTGAATGTTAAGCATAAAGAAAAATTCATCGAAAGTAAAACAGAGCACGAAAATATGTCAAGCACTTAATTCTAGTTCTCTAAATGGGGCGCTCGCTCTCTTTGATTTAGAAAATTAAGAAAATTCAAGAGCAGCACACAGTAATTTTTTATTTTTTTTTTTATTTCGTTTTGTTGTAGGAAAACCGTGAGTCGCGGAAATGTGCGCAAAATGTATATATATTATAAGATTTTCATTCAATCCCTTACACAGAATTTATTTTGTGTGATTTTTTCGTAACCAAACCAAATTATTGCTGAATATCAGCCGCCTTCAGTTGTTGTTTCATTGTGACACGCAATACAAGTGGTCGAGTACAAGTACCGTTCGCTAAGGAAAAACTAAATATTTCAAAATATGCAATGTTCATGAGACTTTTCGGTTAAATTTAAGTCAAACCGTGAACCGTCGCGTGTGTTTAAAAGCGGGCATTACAACAATAAATAGCGTATAAATACAATTATTCAAAACGGAGGGCATTCTACAGCATTTAAGCTTCTTCAAAATGAGCTCTTCGGGTCTGAGTTCGGGCAGTTCCACACAACAGCTGACAGCAGCAACGCAGATTGTAGGGCCACCAGTCGCGCCGGGGAGAAAGAAACGGCCCAAATCATTTGTGCTTGTAAGAATTTTGCTTTTTCTTCATAACTAAATTACCAGTGCTTCAAAAACCATTATTCGTATAGAAAATATTGGTAAACAAGATAACCATA